CCTGCTGACATGATACCCAAAATATGGACACATCTATATCTGAATCAGCAAGATGGCTCAGGCTGTTAACTAACATCTTGTCCTCCTGGTCCAATCAGTTCTTTGGTACTGAGAATGGGGGAGGGGAAATGAAATGGCAGGGATGAGGTCCTGAGCATCTGGTGGAAGATCCGTGACAAAACCAATGAAATGGGTGAGTTTGTTTTAGAGTCTATTCTATGCTGGTGAAGATAGTGTGCTTCCTCACCATCACTTTGACTACAGAGAGCCATGCATCAAAGGCTTTCCAAGTGTTCAGAGGCCTTTTTACATCCAGGCCTACACTCTGTTGTGCATTTTTCAGTTAAAAGTTGCTGGCATCTGTTCCAGATTGGATGCTGTATTGAGTTCAGAGTATATCTAGAGCTTGTGCTTGTCTCGCTTTTGTCAGATGTCATTTGTCTTGAGCAATCCAAGGACCTGGACAAAGGTACCTGGAGAAGTTAACAACTATTGCTGGTACTCTTGGCCCTTCTCCTTCCTAAATGATTTTATCTGCTGGGTTGGAGTGGTCAGGTGGGTGATAGAAGTGATAAGTGTCTTCTTTAAAGAGTGGGTGGCACCCTGACCTGGATAGCCCAGGCAACCTTGCTCTCGTCAGATCTTGGAAGCTTAGCAGGACCAACCCTGGCAAGTATTTGGATGGGAGACCTCCAAAGAATACCAGGGCCGGTAGGCAGAGGCAGGCTATCAAGCCCCTTCTCTGAATGTCCTCCATGCCCCAGTAGGTGTTGCCAAAGGTTGCCATGACTTCCAGACACGGGCGCGCACACAAACACACGCGCACACAAAAATGAAAAAATAAAATAAAATAAAAGAGTGGGTGGCCTCCATGACCTTGAAAGTGGATGGTGCAAGGCAACTTTTGAAGAAACCTTTGCTGGATCTACAAAATATTAACAACTTTTGGCTAATCTTCAGTTAGCTGTGCTTAAGCTGCTAGGGCAGGTATGGTGGCACAGCACCAGAAGTTATTGGATGATACAGATTATCTTTTTTTAAATGTGCCTTTGTGAGTGAGTGAGTGAGTGAGTGAGTGAGTGAGTGGGAGAGAGGGGGGGCGGGAACCTGGAAGTCATGGTGACCTCTGGTGACTGATCCCTACTGGGGGCTTAGAGGATATTCAGAGAGGTAGCTGAATAAAGCCTGCCCCTGCCTCCTGGCTCTGGTTTTCCAAGGAGGTCTCCCAACCAAGTACTTGCCAGAGTCAACCCTGGTTAATGTCTGAGATTTTACAAGATTGGGCTTACCTGAGCTATCCAGGTCAGGGTGGACATTACAGATGCTCTTGATCTTTTCTTTAGTCTAGCTTCCAGCCTGGTTTGTGGATACAGAAACTGCCTTGGTTGCCCTACTCATTGACCTATGCTGGGGACTGGGTGTTTGTTCTGTTGGACTTTTGAAACCATGGTCACATTCTGACCTGCCTTGATAGGACAAGTCTGGGAGGTCCTGTTGCATAGCAATTCCGGTCTTTCCTGAAGGGTGGATTCCAGAAGATGGTGGTGGTATACTGCTCTCTGTAGATTACAGCAGTGACGTCTTTTATCTCCTGTGCTAGTTCAGATCTACATGAAATTGCTGAGGGAGGCTTTCCAGGTATTTTGGGTGCAATGTCACCAGTATGCGCATGAAACCTAGACCTGTCTTTCTTTTCCATCAAAGCTTAGGGAGATGGTAGAGGTTGTGTTCCAGTGTCTGTGGTTCAGTGAGGATACTAATACAGACTAAAACTGAATCTAGTCAAGATGGCAGTAAAGGTTATTGGGAGTAACTGTAAGGCCTTTAACTAATGGAACAGTACATAAGAACATAAGAGAAGCCAATGTTGGATCAGGCCAGTGGCCCATCCAGTCCAACACTCTGTCACACAGTGGCCAAAAATACCAGGTGCCATCAGGAGGTCCACCAGTGGGGCCAGGACACTAGAAGCCCTCCCACTGTTGCCCCCCCCAGGCACCAAGAATACAGAGCATCACTTGCCCCAGACTGAGAGTTCCTATCTATACCTTGTGGCTAATAGCCACTGATGGACTTCTGCTCCATATGTTTATCTAATTCCCTCTTGAAGCTGTCCATGCTTGTAGTGTTCCTCATTTTAGATTTAGGCTTGGGTGGGGGTCTCTTAGACCCAGTGCTGTATCTGGCTGGTGAGGCGTTAGTCTCATTTAAAAATGCTCTTTTGCTCTACTAGACTGGTTTTCAAGCTGCACCCTTTCCCAGAGGAAAAACATCTTACCATGGCAATTCATATCTTAGTGACATCCACATTTGACTGTTGTAAAGTATTCTTTATGAAGTTGCCTTTTGGGGAAATGCTTGTGGCCTGCTGGAGCGCAAACTCAGGCAGACCTGTTGAAACCACACCATGCCAGTTTCATGAGGACTGCATTGCTCCAAGTTGGTTTCCATGCTGAATTCAGTGTGCTGGATTTGACCTTGAATAGGGCTGTGGATCCAGGATACCTAGAGGGACTGCCTACTCCCATGTGAATTTAAAGCACATATTAAGAGCCGTCTTGGAAGCCCATCCCACAGTGGCCCTTTCTCCCTCTCAAGAGTTCAGGAGGAATCAAGGGTGTTTTTTAGAACTAAAGCAGTCTTGGGGTGGTGGAGGGGAGGGAACACAACAGTTTGGCCATGATTGTTTTTCTGCTCTGGATTGGCTGTCCAGCTATATAGTTGCTGTTTTAGCTAATTTGCTTTAATGTGTATTTTTGTTATTGCTGGTCTTTGTTTAGATGCCTTGGAACTTAAAAAAAACCCCTGCCATAATCAAAAACAAAACAGTCACTGACCCCTTGCTGAAGTGGAATAGGGACTGTTCGTTTCTGTTGCCAAGAGCCTCCTCATGCAAATAGCCCAGCCTCTCAAAGTGCAAGTCAGACATATTTTCGACACTTTCACTCATCAATCTGTCTGCAAGCTACAAGGCTAATCCTGGGAGTCTTGCAAAAGTGCTGTTTTGGGCATACCAAGTATTGCAGAAGTGGGCTGGCATAATTATGATTTTACTAGCAAACAGGTAGTAAGCATGATTTTTTTTTTAATGTGTATCATCCAAGAACAATTTCTTGAACTTCAGCCTCTTTGGGAAGGCCAGACCGTGCAGCCGAGTGGGCTGGATTCCCTCCATAGTTGAATGACCTTATCCTGTTGCAACCGGGCAGATCAGCATGGGCAAGAGAATGCTGGAGCAAACCCTAAACTTAGGAGTTTGTATCCATTAAAGGTGCTGGCTCCACTGCAATCTTGTTATTCTTTAAAGACTTCAGTCTTGAGAAAGAACATCCTTGAGTGACAGTAAGTGTCTGGTCTCCTCATTCCCTGCCAAATGTCTTTTGGGGAGGGCGGGCTCTGATCTGGAATTTTATCTTTTGATTTGAGCCAGTCAATCCATATCCAGTGCTACAAGAAAATATGGCAGCTAGGACTGGGATGTCAGTTAGTTGCTGCAACCAACAGAGAAAGACTGAAGCAGTAATGATGGTAAAGGATGGGAAGCAGCGGAGACTTAGGCCATGGGAGCAACTGGAGGCCTGCAGGCCTGACGTTAATCCCCAGTGACTTATAAGAAGGTCACTGAGTATCATCCAAGATGGTGGTCATTGTGTGTCCCCCCACCCCCCCAGCTCTGTGCTGCTTGCCCAGTCACTGGCCATAATGTGCCATCTCTGTTTTTGTATTTCAGCCCTCCTCGGCTCCTTGCTAACATGAACGATGCCATGGTTACCCACATGTCTTCTGGAGCCCCCACGCCAACAAAAAGGTAGGCATACGAGGCATTTAGAAGAGGTAGGTGGTTCACCATAAGATATCTGCGGGTATAAATTCACAGATGGGGGATTGGGAAGGGAAGGGTGATGCTCCTGTGCTTTGGATGTTTCTGAAGCAAAGATCCCATTCCTGCAGCCTCTTCTCCTTTCTTCCCTAGTAAAAAATATCTTATTTATTTACTACCATTAGTTTCAGTTTTCATTCTCCCACCCCTTCCTGTAAGCTGAGTCATTTTTAATACTCTGCAGAAGCATGAAGGGTTTTGGTAAGTTAGAAACAGCCCCCCGTCTCTCTACCCTACTCCGTCTCATCTGGAAGCCTTAACGAGAGGCTGAAGCGCGTGAATTGTCCATACAGAAGTGGGAAAGCGCTGCTGGTGCAGCCTGAAGGTCCAGACCAAGAGGGTGGTTTCTTCTGAGTCAAAAGTTCTCTTGTGGGGGCAGTCCAGGATGCCTGGCTGTCAAACTAGCCCACCCCCGTTATGCAGTATGATGACCCAACAGTATTTGTCTTTGGAGGACACAGCAGTGAGTGACTGTTCCAGTGCTCAGTCTTTGAAAGGCCTGCAGTAAATGTGGTTTGTTTGTCCCATTCCACAGCACACAATAAGAGATTTGTGTTTAGTTTCTCGTCTGTTGAAGAGCAGATTAAGCAAAAAAATTTTTTTTCACGTCAGTGCCTTTTGTTTTATTTAACAATTACTGTGATTTTAATTCCCTTCTGTTCCATAGGCGTAAACAAAGTGTTGATCTTTTCCCTTGTGCAAGTTCAGTTTGGAGTGATTAGGCGGAGCAGGATTGGTGCAGGATATTTCTCAGTTCACCCAGGAATGTTGCTGTGAAGACAAACACGGCTGAGAATCCCTCTCATATAGCTTGTGCAGTCGGTCATTTTCAGTAGGTTGCAGACAGTCTTGAAGGAATGTGTCCACTTCATGGGTATACCGTCTTTCTCCTCAATGGGAACCCAAAGTGGCATACGTTGGCCTCGCCTCCTCCTGTGGGGTGGGATGCACTGAGTGTATGTGACTGGTCCAGTCAGAATCTGAGCCAGTTTGAGGTAGGAGGGACTCTTCTTCTGTCTCAAGGAAGATAGTGCATGAGATAATTGTAATCATTATGGCTTGCGGTGGGAAGAAAGATGGAGGGATAAAGGAAAAGTGTACCCTCCTGCGCCCCATTCCTCTCTTCCTATAGAGATTTCCCTGTGATAAATGTAGGAGGGTCAGCCAAAATTCATGGGAAGCAAGCCCTGGGAGTCATCTTCAGCTGTTGCCATTACAATTCTGCATCTCCCTCCCACTTTCTGCAAGGGAGAAACTGCAGAGCTGGGTTAGAAGCTGCAGCAGCAACACCTGACCCTATATCTGGGCTTGTGGAGTGCTCACAGTCGGTGCTCCCTCTAAGCTGTGGAGTCCTGTGAGCAAAAATTCTACTTTGTGAGCTACTGGCATTAAAGTGGTGAGGGAGCGATTTGACTGCTGCATAAATTAGTTTGCTTTGGAGCCATCCTTCCTGAGCCAAGACAAATATGTGTGAGCCGGAGGCTAAAAAACTGTGAGCTAGTTCACACTAACTCAGCTTAGAGGGAATACTGCTCACAACATTGCTGGCACCAATTCTGAGCTGCACGCCAGCATTTTCTGAGATACCCACCTCTTTGGCTTGTATGCTGCTCTTTGGATGCAGCTTGATCCCTTCTCTAAAGCTTGTGCATTTATCTGAGTACCTCTTTATTTGACCAGGGTGCCAAAAGGCTGCTGCTAGACCAAATAATTGGGAAGTGCTGGCAAGTATGGTTGGATTGCCTCAGTTTCAAGGCTTCTTGATAAGCCTCACAAGATTAGGCAAGGGGAGGAGGGAGATTCGAGCAAGATGCTTGTAGTCCCATGTGAGCGTGTACCATTGAGCAAGCAAGGTCGAAGAAGTGAATGGCAAAGCAGATGAAAGACACGGTCATCTCAAGGAAAACACTGCTGTTTCTCTGGTGTGCTAATTATTCAGGCCTTCAGCACATACTGCTCTTGTTAGCTATTTTTTATATCAAAAATTCAGTTCCCCTTCTCCTTTCCGTGTAGAATATATATGCATTCCAAATGTGTTAAAGCCCAAGAATTTCCACTGCAACTGCTTCCCTCTTGCATTCCCCCACTCCAGTGTTCGCTTGTGGGTCTGAGGCACAAGTCTTACTAAGTGTCTTCATGAACGTTTCTGGGTCTCAAAATCTGGTGCTGACCTTCCTGCTCATAGAAAAGATGACAGTTGCTAGGGAAAGCAGGAAGAATGGGGAATGTATTGATTTAGCAAAAGATCAAGAAGGGAAAGGAAGGGAATTTGACTTGAAAGTGCTGTAGTTATGAAGAGAAATTGTTCTGCAGCTTTTAAACCTTGGTCTGGGGAGTCTCGTAAGAACCCCCTAGCAAGATTAGACTAACAAGCCATCTAAAGTGTCTATGGGAAACTTGCAAGACGGATGGTGATGGATAGCTCCAGCTGTCTGTCCTCAGCTGTTTGTCTCTTCTTGAGAAGAGCCTTTGAACACTGTGATTGCATTGATAGCTGTCGTGACTAATAGACTACTACCATCTCTCTACCTAAAATCCTTGTAAGCCAGGGTCAGTAACTGGAGGGCAGGGACAGATAATGACAGAGGGATGGGACCCATCTTGTTTCTGGCCTCTAAGAACTTCAGTGTATGGAGAGCTTTGTTGTTGTTAGCCATTCAGTCATGTCTGACTCTTGGCGATTCTGTGGGCCAGCTCTCTCCACGTTTTCTGATCTTGTACTGTTTCTTTGAGTTGTTCCATGATCAAGCTGGTGTCGACTTTTATGGTGTCTAGCCACCGTGTTCTTTGGCATCCAGGTTTCCTTCTGCCACTAACCAATCCAAGCATAATTGCTTTTTCTAGTGAGATCTTCCACATGATATGACCGGGTAATGTTGGGTGACATGGGATCTACCCACCCTCAGTGAAATCAGCTGAGAACCATTCCAGCCAGTACCATGAAAAGGTTGCCTCTCTCTTTTCCCCATGAAGCCACAAGCCCAAAGATTCATGTGCAGGCATTGACAAAGGCCTTGCCAGACATTCTCCACTGGAAGAAAGTTATCATTTTCTTGAGGTGCAATCAGGCAGAGATCGAAGACAAGACAGCATGAGACACATCACTGCACTGGGCAGAGAGGTAGACCCACATTTTACTTGAAAAGTTTGTCCACTCTGCAGCATGCCGTCTGCAGTGGAGATAT